TTTTCCTAACTTTCTCCATTTTGGTTCTTCACTGTGCCCATCTTCTTTGCAAACAACTCAAGTCATATTTCTGAATTACAGCTCACAAAGGCAGAAGTCGGGCATGTCAAACCATGGTATTTCTGGGGCCAGCAGGTGGCATGGTGGTTAAGATGCTGGAATTCCCACATGGCTGACCATGGGTCGAGTCCCAGACCTGGTGGCTTGCTTTCTCACTCTCCCTCTCTTTCTCTCTCTCTGTCTTAGGCAAAATTCATGTGAAAAATAACAATAACAATAATAATTTAAAAAAAAAAACATAGTATTTTTGTAACTCACCTTACTGGCACAACGTCCTCATGGGGTCACTAGTGGGTTTCACCATCTCTGGTCATTCCAATGTAATATCATATCCACTTTTCCAAATCTCCCTCAGGCTGGGTGGACAAAGTCATTCTCAGAGAACACATCATTTCAATCCCCTTCTAAATCAATTCGAAATCCTTCCCAACTACTTTTTATCAGAGGAGAGGGGGCATAGTCACCTTTGTTTCTAAAACCTCACCGATAAATTTTTACAGCTGGAAACATAGCCCAGGGTCCTTACTGAAATTTTAGTCTGTTTGTAAATTCATGTAAAACTTTTAATACTATCTATTCCTAAAGGAGAGAGAGCAGCTGGCCCACAGAGTTTCCAGAATAGTTTCTACTGAAAATATGTGCACTGGGGTTCTGGCATATGCAAGCAGCTACTCTGAGATGTTGACCTCTTCAAGTTGTCTTGTGTAGATCTTTGACATAAATGACAGCAAACAATCTTGGACTTTTTGTTAAGTTTCACCTGAGTGAAATCTTAGATTGAAAGAAATGTGTAGTCCAGAAAATGCCCTGTTTTCAGACCAGCATGACTGTTTCTAAGCATTTTACTCACTGGGTACCTACGGATGTCTTGATGGCTATGTAGTGGTTTGCTATCACTCCTCCCCACCCCCATCCACCAGGGTCTCTCTCTGATATTCTGAATCCCGAGGCCCTCCAGATGCAAGCTGCCTCCACCAATTTTACTCTGATGGCTTCTGCTGGTGAGGAGTAAGCCTGTCTGTCTTGCTCTTTGACTTTTATTATTTTTTTAAAAGAGATTTTTGCTATAGGGTGCATGCACTCACCAGAGAGACAGAGACAGACAGAGAAACAGAAAGCAAGAAATCACTCCCCAGGGGGGATAGCCATGCCATAATCCCTTCTCTTCCATTCCCTTCTCAGGATATGGGGCATGCATGCACATGGACCTGGTGTGACTTTTTTTTCTTTTTTTTAATTTTCTTTTTTTATTATTAGTCATACATTACATCACTATACACCTTTTAGATTGTGAAGAGTCTTTACACAGCATGATATACACCTCAGTCCAGCCCAGTCGAGACTATTATACACAGCCTCGTCAACAGATAATAAACCTTATCTGTGTCCCACAAGTGTCTTACCTCTCCATTCCCCCACACACACACAAAATTTCCTTTCCTATGCTCTTCCCCTCCCATACTCTCTTTCTACTTTGTCTCTAGTGGTGTGAGTTTTAAGTCACTAAGTCTGGGACTTGAACCATGGTCAACTACATGGGCGTCCAGCAATGTAACTATTATGCCATCTGCTGGTCCCTGTCTCACCTTTTATTCCACCTCTACTTCCTCCGTCATGTCTAGAGTCAGTGCTGGGTTATGTTCACTCAGGTTTTAGACTGAAAGAAACCATCCTTCCACACATAAATAAGCACAGCAGAAGCCAGAGGAATCCACCTACAGGTCTGAAAGTAGAGGGGGGCAAGTGTGCTGAGTTCTGTTTTCTCCAGGAGAGAGCAAATCTGACTCTGTGAGTCTGCTTTTACTCTGTGAGCAGTGGAGGGAAAGAAAGAATCTGATGCTTTAAAGGTACCTTTGGAAAATGTGTCTGTGAGCCCAAGTCAGGGCAGGGGCCTGGGGGGTGGTTTGGAACCTGTCGATGCTTCACACTCTCATACAGATTCTGCAGAGTTGAGGCGGATCAGGACAAAACAAAAAAGAGAATAATTGTTTATTGATGCTTGACTTTTTAAGAAGCAGGAATGAGGAAGGAGAGAAGGAGAAAAGGAAAAGAAGGGAGGGAGGGAGAGAAGAGGAAAGGGAGAGAGGTAGGAAAACAGCACCTAGTTTGAAGCAAAGCTGGGCAGACAGAGCAGTGAGCATTTGCTTCTGGATCTCACAGCCCTGGTCCCTGGATGCAGGCACATGGATCACAGATGCCCCGGGGAAAGCATCTCAGCCCAGAGCCAGGCATGCAGTGTCACCCCCTGGAGAAAGTGACCTCCCACTGAGGACTGCAGGCATTGAAAAGAGACAGATGGACATGGGGAAAGAGGTTTGTAGGGAGAGAGAAAAGGTTGGTCACCTTCTGAAGACGGGG